GAAACCTTTTAATTATCTTTTATTTAAATGCCAGACGCTCGTTATTAGATTTATCGAAAAAAAATTCCTTTTTATTGTGGCAATGAACGTTTGATTAAGTGTTAATAAAACACTACGTGCGAAATTCTTTCATTAGTCTATAAACGATGCTGAAATATTTGACGATATTCTACAACTTGTACAACATGCCATGTACGTGCAATGTAACATTTGCGGTTGGCATATTGCGGCGCGTATGCAGAATCTTCTAGACTGAATAACCAGCTAAAACTTCTTATTTAAATGCCAGACTTTTTACTTGATTAGATTTATCAAGTAAATCATGAAAATATCTTTCTTTATGCAATCCAATCTTTTACCACTTTTATGAAATAAATTGCTTTTATATCATTTTTATAAAATAGCTAAATTACTTGCTATTTTATAGAAATCAATAAAAATCAAATATATTATAGAATGAAGAGATTAAATGTTTCTATTGCATTTTTAAAATCTTTTTTTCGTTTCGTATTTTGCGAACTATCGTTGGATACGAAAACTCATTGAGATGAACTGTCTATCTAGACACTTGCGTATTGCAAATTCCTTTAAAATGTTTTAGCATGCAGTAATCGATTCAGAAACTATGTCCTGTTAGACAGTTCCGCATTTACAAATTCTTTCGTTCGCTTTGAAGCAATTTCGTCATAATCGACGAAACTGCTTTTTCCACGCGCACAGTTCATTAAATCCTCATCTATCCGTTTTCGCCTGTCGCCGGAATCTCTGGGGGGGAAATGCGTTGCAAGCGGACAAAAGCGAGTCACAGATACACCTGTACTGCTGCCGGCACGTCGCAAAACGATGGTCTTGCGCGATCAACTGGGATAGGTGAGCACAGATAGGTGAGGCACAGATAGGTATGCAGCCGGTTCGCAGCTTAGCTCGCGACGTCGGTTGTAACGGCGACAAGGACGGCGACGCCGACGACGGCGGCGGTGGTGGCGATGATGATGATGGTGTTGGCGATGGTGGTGGTGATGACGGTGATGGTGGTACACCGATGCCGTACGGTGTGCATATCGGAATGCCAAATTGTTGCGCCACCGCCAACCGTGGTCGGCCGAGTCCGGCTGAAGCGAGGTCTAGTCGACTCGAATTGCCCAACGCGTTGTACTTTTCACTTTCCCTCACCCCCTACCCGCGCGCGCGCGGCATGAAATTTTGCCTAGATAGAGACCGGGGACCGGCCGATCTAACGAGCACCAATAGCCAATGGCCCAGAATCCGCGCGAGTGATCGCGCAACGTGTCCGGGGTGACCGCGCCGTTAGTTTTTCGAGCGTGCCCTCTTTCTAGTAGGCGAAGTCAATTTTAGAGGTATCTCGAGTCCCGACGTGTTTCGGCTCGCATTACGGGGTGGAGAACGAATGAGCTTCGTCGGTCTCCCGAATGTCTCGTTAAATACTTTTGTCCGTCCATCTCCGCGTGTTAACCTCGTAGCTTGCATCTTGCGATGTAACGCGATGTAACGTTTCGTCATGATTTCGTCTAGAAATACAGAATCTTATTAATTCAGAGTCAGAATGTGCTGTCAGACGTGTTATTAAACGTTTCCATCACTCATGTGTAGACAGATCGCTCCAAAAACAAAAACTTCTTTTATCTTATATGGCAAAAAGTGGTAGGTAATGCTGAAAAATATTTTGACTAAAGCTAACGTCTCATTTACAAGATATTACTAAAGAAAATTATTTTAAAAATGATGGAAACTTTTGCGTACTCTTTGTAATATTATGTCATATATAATTGGAATGGATAAACCTTATCTCGTAACTTACGTGTCAAATAATATTAATGAAAAAACGTGTATTTTTAAAGAAGATTAATTTAAGCTTAGATATTTTAGGACCAATTTTTTAATGAATGGAATCTAATGGAATGCTGATAGCAAAGTGATTTTTATAATCTCATTTTCTCTTCACTCACTTACAATCTGGATGGAATACTTTTTATTTAAGAGTAAACAACATTTGCAAACTAGGAGCGCGAAATATGCTATATTGGGCAATTAAGTTTACACCTACGCAACATGCTTCGTTACAGGTTTTCTTGCGTATCGCTTTGTAGGTCACGTTGCAAGTTCCGAAACAGTGTTCGGTGCAGTTTTCAGTTCGTTGCGTTGGTCGAAAAATGCACAATGATTTAAAATAACCATGGCCGTCGTAACGAGAAATTCATACTACTCGCGGCGAGACCTGTTTTGGATTTCAAGCTGAAACTTGTAAAGCGGCATCCGGCAAGAAAAACAGCGGTAAACATACGGTCCGTATGTCGTAAACTGCAGTTAACGGCGAAGCAAAGGTCTATTTTAGATAATCAATTATTCAATCAAATATTTCCGCCTTTATTATACGTCGCTTCAATTAGAATATAATAATTTGCATTATCGTAACCAACACTTTATTAGTTCTTATCCAAACGTTATTATTACTGCAAAAAAAAGGCGAATTAAAAAGTAGATTTGCAAGAGGAAAGTGGCATGCCTCAGCAGCCAATTAGCATATTTCATATGCTATCGATGCGCACCCTCCAAACTTTTTAATTACGTACGCACACATACACCACACACACGTGCACACTCACACGCAATGGGTCAGTAATCCTATCCGTTCACTTTCAACATCCGCTCGCCGTGAAATTGCGTTGTGCAAGAAGAAGGTATCATGAATCGGTTTGATCCGTACGCGGAAAAATCACCCGCTATTACTGCACGGTCGAAACATTGGATTATGTGTCGCATTTTTGCGCTATACCCGCCCAGAATTTTAACCAGCATTCTTGCGTGCGATACACCCGAAGTATATACCGGAGGATATCGGATCGAGCTAAATTATATATTGTACGGCGAGAGTTATTAAGAGCGTCTTTTTGAAAAGTAGCAATTTTTCTCGCTCATTTCAAGCGTACAATTTGAACAATCTATAATTTCGAACAGACTCCTGTTTCTAATTTTGTGTGTCAAATTCTACCTAAATTTGCTCTGGAATGTAAAATTGTTGTTAGTCGTAAATTGTTTTTCTAATTTACGTCTATAATTAGATAGATGAAAAAAGGTTCTTGTATTTTTTATTAATCTCAGATTTTTTTCTCTGATATAAATATGTCATAACGATTGCACATACTTTTTCTTGCTTGCTTTAAAATTTCAATTCCTATATATATTAAATTCTTCAAATAATGTATATAAGTAGTCTGTAATTAATTTAATGGTTTATCGTTAACCGGATTTGCCTACTCACCAATTGTACGGTAGTCAAATGCTTCTTCCACCACAAGTACTTCTGATATTCCGGACCCATGGCCGATAACATGTAGTATGCATACATGATCACATGCACCGCGTTGTTTATGAGATTGCCCAAGGTGCCGTGACCGCCCGCGATAAATTTCACGCAGATCCACGTCTCCAAGGGTGTTAGAGAATGATGGTACAAGTGTAGGAATGTGACTTGACTGTCCTTCTTGCGTAATACAAAAAATATCTGAAATATTGACGAGATGTTAGATATTTTCTCAGGTTATTTTCTCGAATTTCAATTCTGTGATCAATGATTTATGTAGGAAAACATGTGGCTTTCCGTATTACAATGTACATTAAATGAATTGGAGACAAAATTATTATGCAATAGGAAGAGCTCTAAAATTAGAAATTAAAATAGGAACATCAGGATACTTTTATCAGAGAATATGTCGAAATGTTAAATGTTTTTGTTAATTATTTATTAAAAAATTATTATATATAATTCTTAAAATTTAAGTTATTTATTTATTTTTTCCAATTTACTGATAAACATTTGCGTATTAATCTTCAGAGAATGGATTTGTGTTATTCATTATTGTTGAGTAATTATCGTGAGCAACGTGAAATTCAAGTTACAAGTTTTCGTTCTCTCTCTCTTGTAAATCTACGTATAAAATCTACGTATAAAAAGTGTACTATAATTTTCTTTATCCGAGTACACGATAGTCGCAACATGCACCGCTGTCAAAATTGAGCAACGAATGAAAAATTCGTTTCGCGTTTCCTACGTTCGATTGAGTTTTGCACGCGCGCTGTCGAAAGCGCTACTAAACACTTTCTCTCTCGCGAGGGTGAGTAAGCATAAGCTTTGCGAATTGCCGGCTTATTTCGGCCAAGATATCTAACGAACGAGTGGCGATTGGTCGATTAAATCTTATCTGTTCCTTTAATCCGCTCGCACGATTGCGTGGCCGACAGTAGTTCGGCGCTGCTCGCACTCGCTCACGTTGATGTAAACGGATTGCTTAAGGGATATTACGTCGCGAGCAGGGATATACGAGCGTTCGGTACGTGATTATTCGATTCTCGTAAAATAACTAGCTACTCTCCACTTTTTTTACTTCTTCATTACTTCTTTCGTTTATTGCGCGTATTTATGCCTATCGCAAGTATGGGGTGTGCTCTAGATTATGGTGTAGCTAATAAAAAATATGCAATAAAGTTTTCTTGGCCGGTTGCGTAGTTTTCGAGCGAAAATCAGTTCTGCGAATTAAGTTTCGAAAACGTAAATAAATGATGCAACGTTGTTTGTTCATTTTGTTTTTACTATATCTTGTTTAACACGCTTTAACGATTACACTTATTTATTAAGAAATATTGAATAATGAAGAAGTATAAAAAATGACTATTTTTCTTTTTATTTTAGTTTTCTATCATCTGTCGATGTGACACTTTGTTTCTCTTCTAAACCCCTCCGGGGTAATTTTACACGTACAAAAAATCTTACTGATATCGGAGATAAAACAGAATAAAAAACCGGATGTCGTTTACATAGAGGATATTTCATCATTTTCAGTGCTTGATTAGGTGGTTAAAAACTGTGAAAACCCGTTAATGTTTCATTATCTGTGCAATTTCATTATCTGTGCAATTCTTGTTCCACATAAATGATGCGCCTCGATAAAAGTTTTACTTTTTGTTTTTTCGCAAAAAAATCGAAGGAACTTGTCGCTTATTACGACATTTTAATTTATCGTTATTATAGATTAGATCTCTGATACTTCCGTTATTTATAATTTTTTATTTACAATGTTACACATATGTTCTAGCGATTTCTTATTAAAACAGACGTTCAATCGTATTCAATACATGTTTCTTTGTTGAATCATTCATATTGTGTATATTTATGTTTCACTGTTTTTTCAATAAGGAGCTTGGTGTCTGTAAAATTCGCTGATTTGCAATCTTTTGCATAATTGATTGGGTGATTTAGGTGCGTCATTTATGAAAGTGAGTCATACCGTGTCAGCGAATTCCGTGAATTTGCTGATGAAGTACCACCAACAGAGATTTGCCATCCTCAGAGCGGACGGATTGTGAGAGTAGTCGACCGGTTGGCATTTGTAACTGTAGTCTAATAGCCATCCAGACATTAAGTGCTGCAAGAAAGTATTTAATTAGATATGTTAATTGGTTTCGACAAAGCAATTTTCATTATTCAGCAAACTCGTAAATCATTGTAGATAATCGATTACGTTCATCAATCAAATTGCTTACTGCAATGTTTACAGGAATTTAAATATTTAAACCCAAGGAGCTAACGAAACTTAATTTCGTACAACATCAGTTCGAACAAACATTTGTTTCATTTCGCCGCGCGCTAAACGGCGATTCTGCTTTCGCCGTTAATGACGGCAAGAGTGAAACACACTTTATAAAGTAATCAGCGGCAGAACAGTGACGCATAGTTTACAGCTTTATAAATATCTTCGGTATATTATTTCTACAATTTATATCTAGTTGTTATCTATAATTGTGACCTAAATAAATATGAGATCATTCTTCCGCTATGATTTAGTGTTCTCTATTCGGCCGTGAATGCCTGTCTCGAAGCTATTATATTTTTTTTTAACTTTTGCACTGCAAAAATGACTAGGCATAAATCGGTCTCAGGAGAAACTACTGTATGTGTTTTGAGGCCGACATGTTCCGTTTCGTACATGCTTACATATTTCATCCTATTTTCGTACATGCTTACATATTTCATCCTATAATTCTCTGATATTTACATAATCAATCAATTTTTATTTTTTTCCATTTAGATTTATTAGTTCGCTTTTTATTGCTTTTAACATACTCTTATTCAATTTGCTGTAATTCGTTATTTTAAGCGAGTTAGGCGATATTTGAGAAATTTTAAAATCTATGAAAACAACATTTACAACATTTTTTAAGCATGCTTTTGCTTCTTCATTATTTTAAATGATTTCGACAATATTTGCAAAATTTTAAGATTTTTGACGAAAATGCAACTTTAAAAAAATTTTTATTTTATCAAAAAATAAAAGGGCTACAAGAATCAAAGCGCAGATATCGAAGTATAAAAAAATTTTGGTTCTAATAGCCCTTTTTTTGTCTATTTTTTTATTACAGAACCATACATTGCTCTTTATTTTATGTTAACTTTTTTATAAAATTTCAGTGAAGTTTAGACAAATTTTAAAAGCACATTTTTGACTGCCTAATTGCTCGCATTTGACGTTAATGATACGTAGCACATTATTTGACCGCTTTATTTGCTTGAAGAAGAGCTATTGTGGTTTTGTGCTTTGAAATGAACTACAATTACCGGATAGCTAGACGGACAAAGGCACTTTGTAAATTTATTCCATTTTGAGCGCATAAAAAACATTCTTGTGGCACAAGATCGACTCTCTAACAAAGACTACAGTTAGACACTGCAAAGTAAACTTTCGCGCGGATGCAACTAATCATTATCTATCTCATTGCACGTGAAGATCGCTTCTTGTCTGACCTGCTGTGTGGCATCTTACTTTGTATTTTTGATCGCATGCCAGGGGAGCGGCAAACGAGGCTCGGCACTTTATGGAAAGTCGAAAACAGGATGTTTCGCTTCTAAAGAAACGTGTACGGGTACATAGATCGATTGAGCAATAGCAAGATGTGTCGTACGTCGCTTTTGCTGGATACGTGTCACGTATCCTTACGCATGTTTCCTGTCACTTGAAATTGTTACGTACATAAAATAGCGCAAAAATAAATATCCTAATGTGTTTGTTAAAGTTGTAGATATCGAAATTTTGCTTACAATATGTATTAACTATTTGAAATTAACAACTGTAGCAGTAACGCATACAAAGATACATTATATCGCCATATAAGATTTGCAAAACTATTAAGTTTTTAATTTTATGTATTTATTTATTTTTAATTTTATTCTTTTTATGCACCAGAATGCAGGAATAACAAGTCTTTGAAAACAATCTGCTGCGAAAAATGTATTGACAAAAATAGAACTCGAGAATAGAAATAATACTGTAAAATGTTGAGCAAATTGGTACAATATTTTCGTCACATTTAAAAGATTCAAAAAAATAATTAATGATATGCGCCTGCAATGTCAGTTTTCAAACTGTATTATTACAAAATGAACGATATTACATTTTACTTATCCAAAAGAGTTACCAATGGTACTTGCTAAACATGTTATGCCGTAGTAGGTCAAGGCTATTAATGAAGAAGCGGAAATCTCAGCTCTGGCATACCGGAGTTGGAAAGCTTTTATACTTTCTATCAATTCACTATCAAAACTCTTATTAATTCTAACGCTCGATACCAAGAATTATTATTTAGAGTTAAAGTAGAATTTTTATTTAAAATTAAGAAAAAAAATTTTCAATTTTTTTATCGCATTATTGAAAATTTTTGAAAGCGACAGAATTATTTTCATAGCGATATTCCAAAATCAAATGAATATATGAATTGAAACAATTCAACAATTAATGAATAATTTAATTTGATTAATGATAATTAATTACAATCAAAATAAATTGTTTATTGTTCGCGTAGGGAAAATACTAATTGGAAACACTATGCAAAATTTACGACTGTCTCTCTCTTACGCGACTTTAATCTCGCTTTGATTAATTCATTGAATTTGCGTGCTCTAGGTCGACATTTGCGTCACTTTTGACTTTTTTAGCGAGCACAATTGCATAAACATTGCAATATAGTATAAAACAAATGATGTAAGATACTTATTACATACTAGAGAAAATCAAAAAGTAAAAGGACACTTGAGAAACCAAACTCTTTAAAACAGTTCTTTTACTCTTTGACTTTCCCTAGTAATACGCTCGACTTACGTGCGTGCGTAATTTGCAAATGTGTGTACACGAGATCCGATTAAGATCCGACGCAACTTAATTAACGCATATCTTATTCTGTCCGATCGCGTACGGTGGCCGATCACATTGATTCCGCGCGGTATTATCAGCGAGTTCTAGGTCAAAGTTTCTTCTTCGATTTTTGTCAACGATTATGCCAAGTATTCCATTCATCATCTCCTTTCACCGTCACACTTTGTTGGCCGCGCCGATCTCGCGACCAAAGATCGTTCACGGCTGTCAGTCTCTTCTATACTTAGTCGCAACTTCTTCGCGATTCAAAACCTTTTCGATCTCGGATACATCGTATTTATTCGACGACATACTTACATCGTGACCTATATTACGTGGAAGTGATTGCTCGATCGGCTGCAATTGCTAACCGAGTCCTTAGATCCCAACGGATCGTCGGCGTTCATGAACTTTGCACGTTGTGCACGTCTATTCTATAGCAGGTACCTAATAATGGCTATAAGAAGACGCGAAAGTCAAGGGTGACTGGGAAGGTCGGATTAAGCTCTTTCTCTCTCTTTTTCGCTCCCCCCTCCCCTCCTCTCTCTCTCTCATTCCTCCTCACACATACACATACAGAAACAGACAATATTTCTTTCTCTTGTTTTCTCTCGCTTATTCTCTCTATCGCTCTTGCTCTCTGTTCTCAGCCAGCGTGTTTTCCCGCCCAAGGATTGTACGATGGCAAATTACCAGATTTCTAATTCGTGCGCATTTTTATCGAAGGCATCTTTGCCTATCCTCTCATCTCGACTATCATCGCATTTTATCTACTTTATCTAACGGTATCTCCTTCAATATTTCTTTAATGTAATTTCTTGCTTCAGGGATTTCTTTAAAATGTAGTGATTTCAGATCGCTTAAGGCAAATAATTTCCCGATTAAATTTAATTGAATAGGATACATTGATTTTTATCAATTAGATATTTTGTAAAAACATTTAATTTTTCTAAAAATTCTGAATTTTTATCAAATGCTTGTCTATGCCAAGTGGTGATTCTGTATATTCAAAAAATATTTATCTTTTAGATTTTTGGTTTCCGTTTCATCTAGGCATTTACTTTTTTTCACTCGTTCTCTTGAACAATCTCTCTCTTTCAATCTTTTCTTAAATTAAGAAAAATAATTTTTTCATCAAATTTGAATAGTTGATTTTGTGTTAAAGACAAATTGGAAACCCATCTTTTATTTCTTTTCTTGAAAAAGAAAAAAAATATGTTGAATGACACGTTTTTATCAAATGTTCGATTTTGTTGTGCAATAGTATCGAAAATTCGAGATCTTTACCTCGTACAGCATCCCTAGCGAGAAAACGACTTGAAACGCGTTGTACGTCACGAGAATTCCCCTGAGTTTATATGGTTTTCTGTTGGCCATCATACGCGGCCCGAATATGACAACTCCGTACAGATAAAGGAGAACCATAAGGATCGTCGGTACAGGTGAATCCATCAGCGGCCAATCGCTGACACGTGGGTCGGAGACCGTTGTGAGGATCTCTGTGTACTGGTCCAGGGCCATCTTGACGAGGCTTTGTGCACCTACGAAGGTCCTGTTCGAGTCTGTCATCTCGATTCGTAACTCCAGCTCTCTCTCCGCCACCAATTCCGCTGCCGCCGATGCCATTTCTAAAAATACAAACTAGCATGAATAATGCATTTGTATTAATTCATTGTATTTTAGAAATATATTTAATTCAATCGAGAAATTAATGAAATTATAGAACGATGATCGACAAAGAAAAATTCTATTATTTTTGCGCACATATTCTTCATATTTTTTAAAAATATTTGCACAGTTAATAAAAGTAAAAATTAAAAATTTTCTTTACTATTATTAACACATACATATTAATCGTTATCATTTCTTATGATCGGAAAATATGAAAGGTTCATAACGTACAGCAAATCACATTTTCTTTATTTATTATTATTTTAAATATTGTTTTTTGTGTGACGGTGCAAAGGTTATTGTTTCAGCAATGCCTCACAGAATTTCAGGGTTCTACATATCCGGCTAGATCCGGTTTGCTGGATATAGCCTAATCCGCATTCGTAAAGCGAAAGCGATTTTTTGTTTGCTCGTGGAAAAAAAGGCTTGTTTGGGATAACCCAAACCGAGTTAGCTTTTTTTACATCTTCAGCGCTTTGTAAAAAGATTATAGTTTTTAAAGGCAACAAATATACTTTTCTATATACACATGCAATATACATGTAATAAAATATATAAAATTTTGTACATAAATTTTTTTTAAAGTTACTCGAATTATACATTTTCATTAGACTTGGAGGCCACCGTTCTGCACAGAGAGAACAATAAATTATTTAAAAAATTAATATTTATTTTTATAAATGTATTTTTTTCTGTATATATGTATTGTCAAAGAGCTACATATATCGGGCTGATTGAGTTGCAGTTTCCGATACGATGCAATTTCGCAATCGGGTTAGATGCGCGGTTAACTCTTTTTGCTCAATTACACATATGTGCAATTCTAATCATCGATCAAAGCAAACTTTGACGTAGAACGCAACGGGTCAGGAAGTTCGTCGAGAATATCGTTAAGAATACCGGCGTTATCGCGGTGTCATCGTTGTCGTGTCGCGCTTTCGCTGCGACATTATGCGCGGATGTGAACCGGTCTCCTTCCCTTCGTCCTTCTGCTCCTCCCATCACCCCTTTACATTTTCCTTTTTGCACGGTCTTTCTCTCTACTTACTCATCGTTTTCTACGGTCTAATAAATCATTGTGTCTTTGTTCTTCGAGTGAACGCAATAATGTCAAGGAGTTGCGAATACAACGCCACTGTACGCAACACGAAGTTAAATTATGGATGAACCTTCGAGCGCTTGTTGTAGGAAACGAACAGCTTATAATTACGAATGTTACATGCTCTAGTAAATTATTACTAGCTCATTTAATTACTATGTTACTTATTTAATATCGAATCCGGTATTTTATGTAACACATGCACTCACAAAGAGAAAGATATTTTTGAAGTGAATTTTTGAAGAGGAAAAAACTTTTTGAATAATAACTATGAGAAAAATAACATCTTACAACATATTGTTTTATAGCAACATATACAAATATATAATATATATACATATATATATATATAATGTATATATATATATATATATATATATATATATATATATATATTTAATTTATTGAAAACGATATATATGTGTGAAAATAGCACATATATGTAATACATTTATCAGATTTTAATTTATATCTCGTCACTCAAGCGACAGGTGTACGTATGATTCTATTTTGTATTAAATCCCACGTATCATCGTCATCCGGTGGCAGAGATTAACTAATGCTGATTTCTAATGATTTCTCGATTGGATGGTTCTAAATACTTAAACTTTCGAACGATATGATTCTAATGCCAGATGCAGATTAATAGCCGCCAACAGATTAACTCTTCGATCTTAGTATTCATCATAAATATTATTTTTGAATCATTAAATTTTATGCTTTATTGCAGTATCAAATTTTACAACGAAAGCAATTTGGTTAACAAAAAACATTAGTAGTCAAGTGATGTTTGACGTCAAAAATGTGTAATTTATGTATGTTTTTATATATTTTGATAAATTACTAAATAACTATTATTTATATATATTTATATACATTTATTTTTGCAATATATATATATATATATATTGAAACAAATTATTTTTTTGCAGTTGTTTAAAAAACTGGTGAAATTCGATAAATTTTAAAGACTTTTTCGATTCGCGATTTAAATAGCTTTAAATTTTAACCAATTTTAGTTCAAATGTAAATTATGTTATTAATCAATAAAAGTAACATAAGCAAAACAATTTAGCTTATTTAACAATATTAGTTTATTTTTTATGAAGACTATAGCGAGATGTAAAAAATATTCATTTTTATCATTTACTTCAAATGTTTTTCAATGAAAACAATTTTTAATTGTTTATTTGATTGTAATAATGATCTGCACTTCTCAAAGCAAAATGACGAGGAAAGATCAACGAGTGGAATAAACTCGCATTCAGTGGATTTTACCGCAAATATACACACGTAATCACTTGGGAACATTTGATAATCTCTTCGATATGTCTCTTGCATAATCGCTGAACAGTCATGATGTAAATGATAATTATATGTTGTCTGTCAAGATGTTCTGCACCTTGTCTCCGTAACACTTCGCGAGATTTAGAGCTTGTCACTGTTACTATCGTGATTGTTGTCGGTGGACAGCACTAATTCACAAATGACACTTTCTCGCGAAAGAAATCTATTTCGTAATCTTACACATTGTACGGTTATTAGATTACGAACACTTTCCTGGACGATGTCGGTCGTATTATCAACGATGAGTCGTGCGAATTTTTGCTGCATAACAAACCGACGACGGCGTGTGACGATGCTGAAAACAGTTTGTCCTCGTAAGACGATGTAATCGCCCAAATCGTTTTCATCGCAATCAATTTTCTCTTCCGCGCCCGATTTACACTTCGCGTAATTACCTTTCGGTGACTTTTCCCGGCGCTTTTTTTTACTGTGACACACTTGGTGACGCCGGCTCGTCAAATTGGGAAGAACAGTCGCGACAACATCTTTGCGATTTGTAACAGTCGATTGTGCATGACTTCCGCATTTGCTGATGCAATCGTCGCATCTCGGTAAACGTTGCGCATTATCATTTTTAAAACGTGGTTTTAGAGAAATAGCATGAGAACGCATAGAAAGGACGCGACAATGTCTGTATGATTTGTCATATTTACTTGTCACTTCCGTCGCCGTAATGTAGTTACATTCGAGTAATTAGAATTTTTTAAGGAACATTTTCTTGCATAACATTAATGGTACTTGTGGAAATTATCAAACTCATTTGCTAGTTGCAAAACTTCTGAAAAATCTATTTTCAAAGAAGCTGATCTAACGAGCTGAAAAATTAACTTTCATTAAGCTAATCTTTACGATCTTTTCACATTGTTGTCTACGATGCTTTTACATTTCTTCCAATTTTTGATGAGTCTGGAACGTTATTGAAACTTCCGACGTAATATAAGCATAAGCTATTATTCAAATATTTTTTTTTCGACGATGAACCGCACGTGGTAGAATTTTCTTGAATTATATGGACAGGGAATTACATAGTGTATTATCACAACGATCGCGCCATACAGAACTCGTGCACGCGATCGTCGAAATGCGCTCATAAATTCTCGTAGCTACGGGGGATGAGCGCAGCAAGTAGACCAGAAAACTAAACGAGTCGGGATTTAGTCATCGCCGGCCGTTCTAAGGCCAGCCGGGAGTTTGCGTAATTGATATTGCAGTTCTGCCGATAGCGATAACTAAAGTAACGGGGTTTCACGACCGAAGGTTGCTCAATGTCGTTGCAAAGACCCTTCGCCTTTTCTTTCCTTCATTTTCCTACAATTTTTTTACGCGGCCGGTTCTTACAATCTCGTTTTACGGCCGTGTCTACGTGCGTTGCGTACGCGCGAATGCAGTTCTCGAAACGGAAACACATCGCCCGCGCGCGGCCTTTTCGCTATCGTGCCACAACGCGAAACGTGAACGCCGCGCTAACTCCGGATGCGTGTTATTAAATGGATCTATTATGCCGGCGATGTCAATGTTGTTGGATTAGACTTACGCAAAAACGCATTGCATACTGTTTACCCGAGAATCTGGGTTAACGATCTAAGTTTCTACAAATATTTCTGCGTTACTTAAGTGAAAGTATCACATGCGAATCTTCCGTTGTGGCTTCGGAGTTTAATGAATTTATTCGCGCGGCGTAGGCGTGCGTTCACGGACAAAAGCTCACTAATGTATACGCTTCTCATTTAAATCATCATAAATTATCTTTCATTCTTTGTCTGGACTGTTCACAAAGCCGTAAAATTACTAAATTAGGTAAATGATTTATATTTATTTATTGCGTATTTATTAATTACGATTAATTAAACGGAAAACCCACTTTTAGACCGCGAAATAAATCTTTGTTGTTATGTAAAACAGAAATGAAACTTTGAAAGATTTATTTTTGAAATACAGTTTTGGGCTGTGTTCTTTGTTTGATTATCTTCATTCATCTAATCATCTTAATTTAACCGATCTGATAATCGATCGTTGTAGTGCTACTAGATTCGATTAGCTTTCGGAGAGATATCGATGATTAAGTCCATCAAGGTTAATAGCATGAGTGTTCTTCGATGCGAAACATGAATCTCGTTCCACGCGGTTAACGGTGAACGTTTCATCCCGGCGCCGGTCGCAGATGATGCGAGCTAAACGGTACTCGCTATACAGAGAAAGTTTCGCGCGACCGCGAGAGTGCGAGATAAGGAGGGTGGGATCGGGAAAAGGTGGCAGGAAGAGGGAGAAAGAGAAACGTCGTGTAGCCGGTATCATCATCCGCCGGCGGGTTCTCTCAATGAGAGAGAATTCCGATGACGATGACGCGCGGCCACGACGGATGGATGCCTTCTTCGAGTTTAGTGGGTAAGTGGGTCGTCCGGTTAATTACCGATCAACCTGTTAATCGCATCGAGAGAGTATTTACAATACTTTAGTTTGAAGTGATAAGAGCTTATCGCGTTGTCATATCATTTTTTGTCAAATTTATCC